TATCCGTTAGAAGGTCTTCTTTTGTGGTATGGTATACTGATCTTAAATTATTATCCTGTATATTCAACATAATCCATATTACTCATTTCATCAAAGTACATTTAATCATGGAGAAATCTGTGCTTACATGCAAGAAAGGGGGACGAGTTTGCCTAAAAGGGTTTATCAAGTATTAAGAAACTTGAAAGTGGCTTCTAAGAACCAGGTGGTACTTTTCGGTTTACCCTGGCTGCCTCATCTTTGTCCCACCCGCACCCTCCGCACACATGCCAGTCCCATCTTGCTCTTTGGCCTTTTTTCTCTCATTTTGGGTCTTGGCCAAGGGCATGGACTGGGAAAGGAGAAATGGTCCAGGTTATGGTGATTCATCACAGTGAAGTAAGAATTAGATGATTTTGCTCCACTCCGTCATCAGTCCTTTTTTCTTTTAAACTTTTTATTGTGCTCTATGATCCATTTAGAAAAAGGCATTTTGCTGAACTTATATGAACTGAACCCACCCAGCACCCAGAAGATCAACTCTCTCTTAGGATCCCTCCCCATATACGCTCTAGTCACAATACTTCACCCCATCCCGGCATGACCGCTGTCCAGACACTGTGTAGGATACAGCAGTGGTTTTAACTCTCTATAAATGGAATCATTCAGGATGTCCTCGTTGGCGTTGTCAGGATTCACTCATTCAACGTTAGTGTGTAAAATTCGCCCAGATCCTTGTACTTGGATATAGTTTATTCACTCAAATTCATAAAAATGTCACAATGGGCATTTGAGGAATGCACAGTTGGTCACGGCCGTGGGCTGGCAAGGCTGCAGTGGACGTGTGGTATGTTTCTGGTAGTTGTGCACCTGGGAGAGGATTTGCTGGGCTACTGGCTGTGTGTGTTCCTCTCTGGTTGATGCTGCTTAACTGTGAACAGCAGAAAGGGCACATGGCAGCTGCTGTTCACAAAGAAGCTTCCTGCTCATAGAAGACTCTAGCCAGTGCCTCCACAGTGAGATCTGACACATCCGTCATCCATGCATCCACCAGTCCTTGTTTGGTTTAACGGGCCCGTTTGCGCGTCTGTGGAGCCATGACACCTGCCACTAGAGATGATTTGCAGGATCCTGAAGAACCTTCTGTGTCATCAAAAAGACCTTCTCCTTTGCTCTTTGTGGTCTTACAGTTCCATCACCAATTCATGATGAATTCTAATTCATTGATTCACAGTTATATATTTCTACTGTCTAGAAGGTACCATGGAAGTAAGTTAAAAATAGGGGCGCCTGGGTGGCTCAGTGAGTTAAGCATCTGCCTTCAGGTCAAGTCATGATCTCAGGGTCATGGGATTGAGTCCCACATCAGGCTCCCTGCAGGGAGCCTGCTTCTCCCTCTGCTGCTCCCCCTTCTCGTGCTCTCTCTCACTCTCTCTCTCTCAAATTAATAAATAAAATCTTTTTTAAAAAGAAGTAAATTAAAATAGAATCTTCTCCCTGAGTAGTTTACAAGTTTGGAAAGGAATAAGTAACTCTAACGCAAAGTAGAAATGAGGCAAGTTCCATTTTAAAAATATTTGGCAGGGGTGCCTGGGTGGCTCAGTTGATTGGGTGACTGCCTTTGGGTCAGGTCATGATCCTGGAGTCCTGGGATCGAATTCCGCACCAGGCTCTCTGCTCAGTGGGGAGTCTGCTTCTCCCTCTGACCCTCCTCTTCTTGTGCTTTCTCTCTCTCTCTCTCTCTCTCTCATTCTCTCTCTTTCAAATAAATAAAATCTTTTAAAAAGATAAAACAAAACATTAGGCAAGGGGACTATATTTTAATACTGGTAACCTACATACATTAATCATGATATTCTAGGATATTTGATTAAATGCTACAAAATATTATGTCTAAACTTATTCCAAACATTTATCGGTTCACCAATGGTAGCAGGAAGCTCAGGTGAAACGCCAAAGAGTCTGACTTTATTCTCTTCTGTGAATCTAGGGACATTCACACCCCACCCCAACAAATGTATTCAATCAGCAAATGGATATTTTCTGCTTATCTCTCTATCCTTCCGGATAAACCTAAAATCCTTTCTTTCATTTGCAAGTTATCTGCTGAAGAGTGTAGTTCTGCCAGTGATTGTGTCCTTAGTCATTCCACATATATTTGTTTAGCTTACTTTGTGTCAAATATTGTAGCTGGCCCTGAATACGAATAATGAAACACACCCGCCCCTGCAAGGATCCTTGTCCTGAGACACTTGCCTCCTAGCCATGATAGTCTCAGGGTAAAGAGAAACAGTGTCCAAGTCACCACATGCTGGAATTTCAACTACCTTATGTAGTGGATTTGGTAGTGAACCCCCAAAATCCATGTCCACCTGGAACCTTAGAATGGGACCTTATTTGGAAATTAGATTTTTGCAGACATGATCAGTCAAGATCACCCTGCCTTAGGGTGGACCCTAATTTAAGTGATTGGCATCTTTGTCAGAGAAAAGAAAAGGAGACCCAGAGAGACCCAGAAACACACAGGGAAGAAGGCCTTGTGATCTCAGAGGCAGATAACGCAGTGAGGCAGCTACGTGGCTCAGGGAACACCAGGATTGCCACGAAGCTGAGTCAAGGAAGGACTCCTTCCTAGAGCCATCAGAGAGAGCACAGCACTGCTGGCTTCTTGATTTAGTGAGTCCAGCCTCCAGCATCCTGGGAGAAGCCTCTGGAAATAAAACTAGCATCATCTTATTTTTTTCCCTCTCCCCCTTTGCTCCTTACCTTGAGCTTCCGGCACTTTGTACCTCAGCTAGAACAGCTATTATGTTTGTCATTATCTGTGTACAGACCCATCTCTCCATTACAACGTGGGCTCCATGAGAGCAAATACTGTGTCTTAGATACTTGTGTATCCTCAGAACTTCACAGGGAACCTAGCCTTTGGGATTTGATTTATAAGTGACTCTACCGATATGTAAATAAATGAGTCAGCAAAAGCATGAATTAAATACCTTATTTCTGCCCCATCTTCTTGGCCTGTCTTTGGCCTTATATAATCGCCTTTCTCTCTGGTCTGACTTAACATATTAACTGCGTTTTCTTTTTCTCTGTGCTCTTCTTACCACTGACAAATATCTTTCTGCCAGTTATGCCAGAAAATAAGTCTCTTCCTTATGAATTTCTTTGTTTATATATGGAGCCATTTTTCTTTTGCTTTAGGATTTATTTATTTGAGAGAAAGCTGGGGAGGGGCAGAGGGAGAGGGAAAGAAAGAATCCCAGGCAGACTCCCTGCTGAGCGCAGAGCCCACTGTGGGGCTCGATCTCACGACCTAGAGATCACGACATGAGCCAAAACCAAGAGTCGGACACTTTACCGACTGAACCACCCAGGCGCCCCAGGAGCCATTTTTTTAATTGCCTGTATCTCATGGAAATGCTAGCACTCTGTGTTCTGCACCTTGGGGAGCTAATTCCTCATCACTCTCACCATCCGAGCCATCAGATGATTGGGAGCATGCTGCGTGGGCTTCCATCGGGTAGAGAGGAGGCAACGAACACCAGGCTCCTCTTCTCCAAATGAGGTCACCACCCAAGTCAGAAATCCACGGATAAGCCTCCACATTAAATAAGACATATGTTGGCTACAGTAAAATATTAATACTATACAAAACAGAAATGTAAGAACAGTTTCTGAAGTCGATGAGAAATGAGGCACGTTTTCTGAACTAGAAATAAGCCTATAATCTCACTATGAGTTCACAACCAATTGGACAACTGAGCCGTATATTGTATTGAAATTGGGTGTTCCCCCAAACGCAGCGCTCCTGTCCTCTCTGGCCAGTTTGGACACCCCCGCTTGGGGAGGAGGGAAGAGTTGCCACCTTTCTTCCCGTTGTAAGAGTTATAATGTTCTCCGCCTCCCCTGCTCATCTTTCCGCAAACCGGAGACAGGCTGGCATTATAAAGTAAAAGTCTACCCAGCAAGGGATGAGAAGCTGCTGGTGTTGGAAACATGCTTCTCGAACCCCCCAGAGAGGCTGCCTGATGTGCTGGACCCTGGGACAGGATCAGGGTTCCGAGATGCAGGCTGGAGGGCAGAACTGGAGATGGGTGCACGTGGAGAGGTTAGCCTTGTCTATAGAGAGCTCCGAGAGAAGTAAGGGAGGTTGCAAGAGAAGGCAGCCTCAGAGAGAGAATAAGGTGTAGTGAGAGGGGTAGAAGCACCCTACGCCAATTTTCAGGCCAGGGGTACACCGGCCAAATCTACCCTTACGACGGCTCCTTCGCTCAGCACTGGTGCCATAAATGTCATGTCTCAGGCTCCCTGACCTCTAATTTGTAGAAATATTAAACAGATGTGAAAAATAGAAAAACCATCCTGTACATAGATAGATGATAGATGATGAATACCGTTTGCTTGTCATTTCCTGCAAAGATATTTTAGGACATATAATGTAATAATTCCCAAGCATCTTTACAAGGACATAAACAAGTCTCCCTGTAGGTACCAAATGCGTTGTTTCCGTTTTGAGCTTTCCTTTTTTAATCTGCTGGAATAAATGACCTGTTTTCTTGACAGTTTCGCTCTTTACACATATTACCACTTAGGAGACTTTGGAGTTCCGTTTATTTTTATTCTTTTGGTTTCCTGTTCTAGCACACATCTGTATAAAATGAATTTTGTCATGTTACTGTATATGCTAGAGATAAGTAAACAATAAAAATAATGGTTGGTGTGAAAGGGGGTTTATATTTAGCAATAAAAGAACCTAATTTTTTTTTCTTCGAATTTTTTTTTCTGCTTTAGTTTTTTGCTTGGTTCAGTTTGGGTTTTGTTTTGCGGGTGGTTCAAGTTCCTGCGCATCCTGGGCCCTTAGGTGGCGGGCGGGAAAGTGCACTAGTGGGACTCTGCTGCCATCTACCGTTCGTCGTGCGCCAACTCACTGTTCCCCTGATGCAAAAAAAGCTGGTGGCCACGTAGGACTTGAGAGTACAGTAAGTTCCCCCTTTCCTTCTGCCTGTTTTTTTCTTTAGTTAAAGCAAAGTGAAGCGAACGCGGACACCAAAGAGAAGCTCCCTTTGCGACTTCGAATCTTTGAGAAATTTCCAAACAGGCCGCAAATGGTGAAAATCTCAAAGCTTCCTTCAGATTTTACCGTTCCTAAAATCAGGTATTAACCCATTTATTTCGTTGTATATGCCACATACACTGTCAGGGATTTATCTTAAATCTGATTCAGCCCTTCTTTCAAATTCATGTTTGAAAGAGGGTATTTTTTTTCTATTTTTAAGTTATTTCTATTCCTACTCTCTCTAGCTCTGCTTTAAAAACCATTGCCCCCTTTAAGCAATATATTCAGAACAGTCATTTGACATTTGACGGTTGCATTCGCCAAAACAAGAAGGTTGCTTCCACCTGCTTCTCCCTGAGATGCCCCTCAGGGATTCCACTCCCCAGGTAACTGGCACGGATGCTCAAAGTTGCAGGTAGACCCCAACCTCTGACCTTCAGCCATATAAGGATAAACGTGCCTCTTGTGGCCTTTTATTCTCAAGTAAATAGAGAAATGCCACCAGTTGGGCTTCTGTATTACTGTAATAGCGTTCATTTAGAATGTCATGTCTGATTACGATAGGTTTTGTCTTCCACTTTTTTTTTTTTTAAGCTTAAAAATTCTTTCATACATCTTAGACAAGAACAGTATTGCTGTATAAAGACTGGCTTAAAAGCATGTTAAGTCTGTTATTGTTTCTTTATGCATTCGTAAACAATGTAACTATTACGGGAGAAAATGGTACCTCGTTCCTTCTCATCTTTAACCTGTTCTTAATTTAGCATGGATAGGTTAGAAGGAAAACCCTGGTGAGATGGCTTGTCCAACACTTTCTCCTCAAGCTCTAATTGCCCCTTGTCTCCCATTTTTAAATGAAAAAACATGGCATTTCCCACTTAGACTAATTTGGTTTCCTACCACTTTGCCCTTCAGTGAAGCATTTGTGTAAATGATGGTTTAAAACATTTATTTTTAATAATTAAAGGCTATTATTTCAGTTGTAGCTCAAAAATTACAAATAGAACCAAAACAGTTGCAATATGAGATTTTTTATTTGTTTAGCATTGCATGTGCATTTAATTTTTTTAATGTTGCGCTAAAATACATATAGCATTAAATTTATCATCTTAATCCTTCTTAAAGGTACAGTTTAGTAGTGGTAAGTACGTTCATGTTCTTATGCAATCTACATCCAGACCCTTTTCTTTCTATTGCAAGACCAAAAAGCTATACACATTAGACAGTAACTCTCCATTGCCTATACTGCTAACCCCCGGTAACCACCATTCTACCTCCTGCCTCTATGAATTTGACTATTCTAGGCACCTCATGTAAGTGGAATCATATAACATTTCTCTTTTTGTGAGTGGCTTATTTCACTTAGCATAATGGAAATATAACATTTTCCCAAAGATTTTATTTATTTATTCATTTGGGAGACAGAGCACATGTATGCAAGCAAGAGTAGGGGGAGAGGGAGAGAGAGAGAGAATCTCAGGCAGACTCTGTGCTGAGTGAGGAACCTGATGCAGGGCTCAATCCTACGATCCTGAGATCACGACCTGAGCCAAAATCAAGAGTCAGCTGCTTAACCAACTGAGCCACCCAAGTGCCCCCAGTATGACATTTTAATGTAACTAGTTCTAAAAATAATTGTGTGGGGGGTTATAAAAATATGAGACTGGTTATGGTGCCATAATATTTAAAATTCAAATGGAAATATATTTGCATTTCTGATTTTTAAAAAATTTAAACTTCAAAATAGGAAGTATGAAAGAGCTACAAATTAGATTCAAGATTAGTGGTTATTTGAAAAGATGTTATTTGAATTCTCACCATGCTTTGGAGATCAGATGAAGCAAGCTTCTTTTGAGTTATTTTGAGTTTTTCAATGTAAAATTATCTCTTGAGGATTCTTATGATGAGTAGAAGTCAGAGAGATGAACTACTTCTTCCAAGTCTTAGAGGGGATTAAAAAAAAAAAAAAAAAGTTTTACCACAATGGGATTCAAAAAAATACCATCAATGACTGAAAATTATTGCTTAAAAGTTATTTCAGGGACATTAGTTTTTTGTTTTGTTTTGTTTTGTTTTGTTCTTTAAAGAAAACTGCTTAAAATTCAGAAGCTTTCTCTAAATTAAGTACTTTGCTATCTAAGTCTAAACACCACTCTTAGCATGATGTGTCTTATTTTCTTTGAACCTTTGTCACCTTTATCTGAGCTCAGGCAAACACATCAGTGTAAAATGCCATCCATTTCATTAACAATGCTTGACATGTGTGTACTTCATTTGCAAAGGGAAAGTTTCATGAAGCAGTTCATTGATCGTCAGCAACAGGACACCTGCTGCCTCTTACGAAGCCTTCCGTCCACCTCTTCCTCATGTGATCACTCCAAACGGTCTGCAGTCGAAGACAACAAATACATCGACCAAAAAGTAAGAATCTTATCGAAGGAGAATAGAGAAGTGGTGGAGGGAGTGGAGGGAGGTGGGAGGGGCATGGGCCAGATGAGGGATGGGGATTAAAGAAGGCATTTGTTGTGATGAGCACTGGGTGTTGTAAGGAAGTGGTGAATCACTGAATTCTGCTCCAGAAACCAAGATTGCACTAAATGTTAACTAATGAAATTTAAACTAAGAAAAAGTAAGAATCACTACTTCAAATTACCAAAGTTTTCTTAAGCATATACGATAGAGAAAAGAACTACGTAACTTTGGGCTTATGTGGGGTCCTGACATCTAATGGCTCAAGAGAACAATGGAGGAAATAATTTTGTTTGTAGAAGAAATCGTTAAACCTAACATTTGTAAATTTATGAATTTTAATTTCACATTTGTCCACATCAGCTTTTGTGCCATGCCAGATAGCAGCCCTGTGACTTTGAGAGGTAGAGAGCCTCCCCAACCCTGCATTTCCTCACGTGCAGAAGACTGATTACTAACGGTCAGCCCAGGTTTAACAGTGGCTGTATGCTGCCTGTTGCAAGAGACCATGTTTATTCCAGTTACTGTTTCAGGGGAAAAAAACCAAAGCAAGTTTCTCTGAAATCAGTCAAAATAACTTCTGCATACTTAGTATGTAGCAGGAATTATCGCTATGTATGTTAGCTTGTTCATGTTGTGATTTATCTATTGATCATTGAAAAGTGGATAGGTTATTTTTTTCCCTCAGATTCCACAGTTAGAAAAGGAGAGATTGCGGTGCCCGGGTGACCCAGTGGGTGAAGCGTCTGACTGTTGGTTTTAGCTCAGGTCATAATCTCAGGGAGGTGAGATGGAGCCCCGTGTCAGGCTCTGCACTGGGCGTGGAGCCTGCTTAAGAGTCTCTCCCTCTTCCTCTGCCCACCCTCCCACTCACTCGCTCTCTCCCCCTCTTAAAAAAAAAAAAAGAAAGAAAGAAAGGAAAGAAAAAGAAAAGAAAAGAAGGAAAGGAAAGAAAAGATCAATAACAGATTTTGTAAAAGGTCTTGAACATTAGAGTTCACAAAAGCATCTAATTCACTTGCAAGTGTTTTACTCCAGAAGTCTTAGTTTATTTTTTTATTCCTTTGAATTGTGGCTGTCCTTTTTCTGTTGCTTTTGATCAAATACGTATTTCTTCATTATCACATGAAAATCAAATACCAGATCCTTCATCCTTTAAGATTCTCTGTTCCCCCACCCCCATCCCACAAGGATTAGGCTTTCCTCCTACCTGGGCCTTTCTCCTCTGCTTCTTTTCTCCTACCCCCTCCCCATGTCTCTTCCTTCCCTCTCCATAGCATCTGGTCCTCTGCTGAGGTTCTGTGATTTTGTTCTCAACTATGATGACGATGATTTCCCTGTAGTATGTCTCTTCTTGTTCAAGGGTTTCCATTTATTGATTTTCTTCAGTCACCTACAGATGTTACTTCTCTCTCTTTTCCAGTATTGCAGAGGACAAGCCTGATGCCGATGTCATTTTTTTTTTTTTCCATTTGAAGGTAATTAGGTTTTTCTTTGGTGGTTGGTTGGTTGGTAGGTTTTTCTGGTTTGAGGAAGCTTTTAAGACTTTCTACATATCCTGGGAGTTCAGAAACCTTACCAGGATATATTTTGTATGTCTTTTCTCACCAGAGCTTCCATAACTGGGGAGTCTTTTTAGTTTGTAGACTGAGATATTATCAGGAAAATTTTCATTTATTACTTGTTCAATGATTACTTTTCCATCTGCTCCTTTTTTCTCTTACCTTTTCTCTTATGACTGCCATCTCTCTGTTTTTCTTCTGTATTTTTGAAATAATTGTCCTACTTAATCTCCCAAGCCACTAAATTGATCTCAACTGATGGCATCCTTTGCTTTTAAGTTTTGAGTGGGAAATCACAAAATGCATGCACATGAACTCAATATCCTCCTTAAAGACTTCAACTGTTTTTTTTTTAATAGTAAATTTGTCACATTCTTGTCCTTAGTTATATTTCATTCAATATGGACGTGAAAGAGCTCGTGTTGGTGGATAATCGGGTGGGAGGATAATGGCCTGGTTTCAGCCAATCAGCCTGAAATTGCATATTTCATACTAGAACACAGATTGTTTGATTTTATAATTTATACCAGAAGCAGACTTTAGCCAGAGGTGTGGAATGAACCCCTAGCCTGGGCTGTGATTCCGACCTGCTATCTCCAGGAAAAGCACCAAGAGCTCATAGTAGTTATGCCCAAAGTCTGCATAAATCCCCCACCTGCTCTTTTAAATCACTAAGAACATTATCCCACTGGAAACACAAAATTGAAATTAGCCCATGAAACTTTATTCTCTGTCTGAAAGCAAACGTGATGTTTCTCACACTTCCTGAACAGAGTGTTTTGAAATGGTGAGGAAGAAGATAAAAAAGTTGTTGGCAGGTGTGGAGGTGGTTGGAGGGTGGTCTGAGGAGACTCTGACACATTCTGTGCACCCCTCTGGGTGACCACCGCCATCCCTGCCCCAGGGATCCCTGGGTTAGGTCACAGAGAATTTCAAATGCCATTTCTGATTGCCTTAATGTCCTTATATTTTTGTGGCTCCTTCTTAGCTTCTCATTTGACAGTTCTTTTTAACTAACCAAAAGGAAGATAACAGTTATAGTTTTATTCTGTAATCTTACAAATGAGGCTTTCTTATAATCTCCTAAAATCTAAAGAACTAGCAAAGACATGGCCCCTTGGTGGTCTCCACATCACTCAGCATCTTAAAGGAGACTAGAATTTTCTGAAGATCCCAGGCAGTCCCCAAACTATAAGGTTGGCTGATTCCAGCACACCATATGTGATCTTACATGAGGAACATGACCAGTGACGGTTAGGTTGGCCTTCATCCCATGCAAGCCTTGTTGGCCCATGATAGGTAACCTACAGTTGGGCTAATGTCATTTACCCCCCCATGAGCTTCATTCTCTGGGTCCATCCTCCAGTTGGGAAGGTGAGATGTAGAGAACATATTTTCTTTTCATCTCAGGAGCACCTACCCTGGTATGGCGGCAGCAGCAAGATTTGTTCCATGCTACCCTTCCTTCTTAAAGCTCTGGCTCTATTTAGGCCTCCGGGAAAGTCACCTTCACTCCTTTCAAGTTCCCAGGGTTTCCAGCCTCAGCTGCCATCAGCTCCTGCCATTCTTCATAAACACTTGGAAGCTCTTATCTTTGTTGAGAGCCATCAGCCAGGAACACCCAAAACAAAGAACCAACTTAACGAATTTCAACATGAGGATACATAAGGGGGACAGAAATAGAAGAGGGAGCAGTCTGGTGTTTTGAATTTTTAAATATGCCAAACCTTTTTTGTTTGTCTTAAGATACCCTAAAGCCACATAAAATTACAGAAACACACGACAAAAATCCTGAACAGAGACCACACCTCTCTTAGCTCCTCTGATAAACTATTTTTCAGCGAGCGCTTGGACATTTCTGTGACAGCCCCAGCTGCCTTCGGAAATGCCAGGCCGTGTCAAGGGGATGGCAAGGTTTCTCACTCGATGTGAAGAAATTCCCCCAGCACCATACAACACAAACTGAGGCTGTTTTTCCTCAAAGAGTAGTAAGAAATAAGAAGTAAATGAGGGGCTGGCTTATCAGTGATTCCCATGACGTGAAAAAGAGGAACATTAAGAGAAAATGTCACCCTTCACAATTACCTGTCAGGAGGAACTTCTGACTCCCGCTAGACTAGAGGGAACCACTTTTCCCATTGCCCAGGAGAACACTGAGTGCTCACGAACCCGAAGATCCTAAGTAAAGGGATAAAACAAAATAAAACAAAACAAAAACCTGACAACAAAAGGTGGGGATGTTTTTGAGTAAGCGATGCCGGAAACGTGAAAGCACCAGGCAGGCAGGATCTTCTCCCAGTCTTTACCGCAGCTTCCAAAAATCCTGAGTAAGTCTGTGGCAGCCTTGCTTTGCAGACCGTGTTGTTAAAAATGGTTCTGATTACCTTTATCATGTTGTTTAAAACACCTGTCCTTCCCCGCATATGAAACAAGCAAGCAAAACCATAAAATCTTTATGTTATTATTGCAGATCCTAAACGGAAAGGACAGGAAACAGTGCTTTCCCTTTCCCATTCCATAGAAACGGGCATTCTCCAGGCTAATTCCCCCATCCCTCTCTCCTCCTGCTTCTCCACCTGGGGCACCAACTAGGGGTTTCCTCTCCTCCTGATAAAAGGATAACCCACATCTCTTGAGAGGAGTTTTTCAAGTTTTCAAGCAAAAGGCAATGGTTTTCTACTCATATTTTTTTGTCCCTATTATTGCAATTAAACTCTGGGTTTCTTAAGTAGAGTACTTGTTAGTAAATTGAGATGTGACCTTGCTTTTCCAGTAACTTGGTAATGGGAGCAGCCCACTCTGTCCTCCCAAGTGAGTCATCTCCGTGAAGGCAGGGTTTCCCGCTCCCCTCCATGGCCGGATATGGGGACTCTCACCGTCCTTTAGCTGAGCTCCCACACCTTTCTGCCCTGCTGTCTTGGCTGCCGTGCCATGTCAGGGGGCAGAACCTCACAGTGTCTGGAGAACATGAGGGAACCACACAGTCACAACAGCCTGAGACACACACATGGATGAGGCCTGTCCCAGCCACCCCCTTGTGCCCGGACACTTCCTAGTACAGTTTCGGAAGTCACGTGATAAAGAACAAGGAGTGTTTCCCTGACAATAGGGCAATGTCTGTCCTCTCTCATACCTGCCCCCTCACTGCTAAGCATTTAGCGGTTCCCATAGAAAGCCTTCACCCTTATCAGCTAACCCATGCACAAAATGAGGAAAGCAATCCAAATAATACTACGTTTTCTTTACCCTTTTCATCTCTGTATGTCTTCACGCTCACTCAGTCATTCAGCAAACGTTTAGGGAACACCTGTTATTCACTCTTCGGGGCCACGGGAATTCAGCACTGCATGAGCTGTGAGCTGTGCCCTTTAGAAGTGTTTAGTCTAATGG